CGGCGCAAAATGGCGGCTATCGCGTGAAGTATCGTTCGATTGCGATCCATGTATACGCCTTGCCATCTTCACACGAAAATCTTTTAGCGAATTTCGGTTGGATGCACTTATTGTTAGCGCGCACCGATGCACGCTAAGTGCGCCCTCATTCAATTTCCTATATCGAGTTGATATTGAAAAGTGATGTAGAAAATTGAGGAAGAACGCGCTTGATGCGCATCCAATTTCAAATTCGCAATTTATTATTCAAAATTCGTTCTTGAGACAATATATGTGATCGAAACAATATATCTATTATAATTTATTTACCTGATACTAGCGCGCGATGTGATGAAAAATAGGCAGCTTCGACTGCATTCTGCATCGCATCGTTCGCGACGGAGATTTTTTTCCAAAATATTGTTACAAACGTTATAAAAGTATGCGTGTAGCTTACGATAATCCGGCGTACGGTATCGCAATCGATCCTCCCGCGCGACGTTCGCTTTTAGCCGCAAATCACTTTTCACCGGTAAAATTATAAATATATATACGAAGCGATTTTCGATACGTTTAAACGCTAACTGTTCGCGACGCGTAATGGCGATTGTCGCATTTCCGTTCGATTACGATTCATATGTCATTGCAAATATTTACGTTACAATATTACCGTTCATATATGTTGCGACACTCGTGCAATACATTATGCGACCATATCAACATATATATACGATCGCACGTCATTTCTTCTCGATATTCCCGAGATTCGTCATTGTTCACGATAGCACAAAGGAAAGTTTTTTTTTTTATAATTGAAAAACGCGCCTAGTGTCGGCGGCAACTTTACAATGATGCAATGTCGTGAAAGTGGCGCGAATTGACATTTAAACGTGCGCGTTGCCTATTACGCAATGTATGTGCCATTGACAGCAATCTGAAACTACAGAGAAAAATATGACCGATTATAATCACATGTGTAATACGACAATCTATAACATTTTCGATAACAAAAAAAAAAAATACAGCTGGCCGTATTAAAAACATATATCTCGATTAAAATATACTAAAAAGGTTTCAACAATTATCGTATATTTCTCGTATATTGCTACATTCTGTAACATAAACTGATAAAAAATATTATTTATCAAATGTTATTATTATATAATCATAGTGGTTTTAAAGAGTATATTAGAGGAAAATATATAATTTATCTGACACCCAGATCTCTCGCAGACGAGCGGAATAACGTTCGTCAGTACAATCCGGTCGTGCTATTTCGACTCTTTATCGCTAATATCCTTTATCCTTCTCCTTTTTTTTTTTTTTCATCTTTCCCGTCGATCGGCTGAGAGCTTTCAGCTCGAAAACGCAGTGAATCAACATCGGTCGATGGGTCACGATCAACCCGAGAGAGGATTCCTCGATATATTAGACATTGGCGATCGGCGTGCCAATCGACCATTTTGATGCACGGCAGCGCTTCTTTGCTTGCGAAACAAACAGAGGCAATTTAGAAATCCTGGATAGACTCGACAGAGAAACCGATTTTATATTCCCCGCCTGCTGTTTTCCTTTTCTCTTTCCCTTCTCTCTTTCTCTTCTCTCTACTTGGCTTTATTCGACCTAATCCCCTGTCCCTCCTCCATCCCGGTTTTCTTTACATCCGGAGTCTGAGATTTTTCCCATTAACCCACTACTGTCCGAATTTACTTCCCGCATTTTTACAGAAATTCGAGCTCGCTTTTCTACGAGAGTAAAAAAATAAACATTCCGTGCTCTTAAATATTTTAAACGATCTTGAATTAAATACATATAATTTACCCAAATTAAATTCGAATTAATCCAAACCGATTTCATCCGAGGGATTAAAGTCTCGTGGATGGAAAGAAACTCTACGCGAGACGAAAAAATGTTAATTTCGATAACAAAAATGCAGCACGTGTTAAGTATAATTTTACGCATAGTCGGAAGTTAGTTTATTATATATTTACTTTTAAGAGACTGATCATACTGTAATTCTCTAACACGCGTACGCGCGCAAGACGCAACGAGATTCGAAATGGTACAAGGACAGTGCAGCCTCTCCCCTTACGTTCGTTACTCCCGTGACAACCCGTTTTCACGGGAAATTTAACCACCGCACATTTTACCGCGCTTTAAGCTACCAGCTTATACCTCGAAACGCATTCCGTATGAGCGCGAATCCGAGCAAACACCTTCCGTAATGTCGGTGCATGTCGCGCGATTTTTTTTTCACTGCCGTCCATGGTTTCTGAAAGTAGCGTAAACACACACGGGCGACCATTTAATTAGACTTGTAGTCTAACCCGCGAACCTACCTTCGCTCGTAATTAGGTTCGTCGACCGTTGTCGTCGCACGTCGCTCTTGGGAACCGTAGATAAATAATCCGGTCGTGCGAATCCACGCGTACCGCAAGAACTCCAGGACAACCATCGTCCAGAACATCAAGAGCCGTAACACGCGCTGCAACGACATTTCGAACGCTAAATTGAGACGAGTGATTTTAATACGTAAAAATAGCTTTTTATCAAATTTGTGCGCGTGTATATGGCGAACAATAACACAGATAAGTGCAACAATAAAATTCGAGCTGTACATTCGATTTTGAATTGGTTCAATTCTACCGTCTACCGTATAGATTTCAGTAGATTAAAATAAATACATTACATTTCAGTAATTTAAACGATTTGGATCAGTCGCAATTTAATTGTGCAATATTGTACGGTAACTGCAATGATAATATTTTTTATTGCATTTGTTTCAAATTTAATCGAAATCCCGTAAAATCTCTAAAAAGATATATAAAACGAAACATTAATCAACAATAATTTGACAATATCTCGAAACAGAATTTTATTGCGAGCTAATCTGCGGGGCTTTTCGTACAAACATATTCTCTTGTCGAGTAAACGCAATTGACAATATTTTATTTTATGAGCATTGCGAGTTATAATCACATTTCCTGATTATATACGCATACAATGGCGTGCAATTCGAATATAAAATATTTGCGGCCGCGGCGATAATTAGAGAGATCAGACAGAGAGATACTTTGCAGAAATATGTAATAAATATCGTTGATGCTTCGTCCAAACATATTCGTACAATCACCGAGACACAAAGAGGAGACAATGAATCAAAACAGCAAAGAGGAGACACGTGTGTTCTTGCGACTCAAAGCGATCCCGCGATAGCCGCGTATATCGCGTTGGACTATATGTATATTTCGACGAATTTATATGCTAATTCGCCGTGCTCGTCGTACGGGATTAACTTCCTGTTCTAGTTAACCGTCGCGAATCCGCGAAAGCTTGACCAAGCCCGTACCCCCGACACGACAAAGTCGCGCTGTCTCGCACAATCGGGCGACGTAAACATCGTTCCTGTACCTCACCGTACCACGAAATTCCGCTTCCGCCAATTGGACAAATCCGATTCCAGGTGTCCCGCAAAAATGCAACTCGTTATCTCGCCCGTGTTGTCCCCGTCAATCGCGACTCTTCCTCCAGTTTTGCTCCAATTTTCGATTCAAAACGCGAAAAGAAATAATGTTTCTAATTTATTTCTAATTTATTATAGAATATTTGATTCAAACATATCTCACCGAGAAGCTTTGAAAAATTTTCTCGATATCCTTTTAGTAAAAATATTCAAACAATACAGGCAGATATTTCTAATTTACCTTGTGTGTGCATTCAAAATATATTTATGTATGTATTTATATGTGTAATGCAACATAAATGATCATCTAGGAGTAAGCTTGGATAAAGCTTTTAAAGATGCAAAGACAGTGAATGGGCCATATATTGAAAATCCGGTCGTGTATCTTGTGTACATTCGATTAAAATGAGGATTTTGAAATGATAAAAATAGCTTTGAAAAGTTACTTCATGTGTATGTATAAAACTATACATTACAATTTTGCAATTAGTTAACATTTGTTAGCATTTAATTTGTTATTAATTAATTCAGGCTAATTAAAATCATGATAGTAAAACAGAAAGAATCTATATTTTATTGCTTTGATGTTTACTCATCAAGTGGTACTCACGATTTTGATAAAAAATATTTATGCGCTAAACACTTTATATAAAACTGTTTGTGCAGCATAGAAAACATATAATTCAAAGTATTGCCGATACCAAACAAGAGAAGATACGTATTCTAGCTTTTCGTTCTACTGCCTCGCGAGGAAAATCTCTTTCCCATGTTTGTCGTATCAGCTTTACGTGTGGTGTGTTATTTTCATCGTTCTATTTTGCATGTACATATATATATATATATATATAAACATAATACTTTATTTATATTTGAAAAAAAATATTTTGTTGATATTATTTCGCAGCGTGACGTCTAAATTTTTTAATACATAAATATCTATTTTTTCCCCTGCACACCTTCGAATATACGATCCTGAAATTTCAATCACCGGTGGACATAAAATTTTCGCATTCTCATAAAAATGCAATTCTGTTGGATCAATACCGAATTAATCTATAACGCTTGCAAGCACTGTCGTTTTGATATAAATGATCTGAGAAATAAATAAAGCGCGAATGTATGAAATAATACCACAGTCGCCACCTGTGATCATATTTTACAACTAAATGTTCCAAGGTTTATACTTGTCAATAAGATAAAAATCTCTAATCGCTAATAATCACATTGATGAAATGCGATAAAGCGGAAACGCAGCATCTTTATGATAATATAAGATTTTTTTAATAACATGATAAAAATGTAAGAGCTCGTATATTTCGTCGGTATTATAGAATAATCGCGATTCTCATTATTTGTTAGATAGAACCAAGCAATTCTAATATAAATCCTTGATTACTTATAAGAAATTTAAAAAATTTTATTAGAATCACCATAATCGTATAGAGTTGAATAAATGTAAAAAATAAAGGCATATATAATGGTTGATACGCCACAATAGCTGAGGAATTAAAAGGACAATAGAAGAAGGATATAAAACATCTGACCCCTATCTTCTTCCAGACTTACTATTCGAGATTTTATTAATCTACATATCCAATAACAAAAATATATATCATTGTAAGAAATAAAATTAAAGATAGGATCGCTTTATCCTTGCCATCAGGATCTATGAATATACAATCCACTGACGACTACTGATTATTTCTACCGTTTAAAACAAACGGGGCAATGACTATTATCTCTCTCTTATTTATACATTAATCAGCAGAGAAGCTCATCAATTATACAACGACGATATAACAACGTTATAGTTGTTGACAGTTGGATGATTTGAGTTATAGTGAAATAAGTATCGGAAAACACATCAGAGATCGATCCAATTTACATGTGAAATAAACGGATTATACTATATAATTTCTCTAACAATGTTATATAGACTTTTTATTATTAATAATAATAATCCTATTTCGTTAGAAGTAAAGGGACACACGAAACTGACGGTGGACCCTCGATAAGAGAAAGGGGGAGTTTAAACGTTAAATCAGCGATTTAAATATCAAATAAGCCGCACAACGAAGTGTTTCTTGAATATTTTTATCAATAACATGCTTTTCATGTACTTCCCAATACACACAAAAAACGCGCTGAAAATCTTCTATTGCAACACAATATGTGTAAATTACTCAATTAACACCTCATTATATAAGAATGTATTTTTTTCTTCCCCAAACTTGTAACACTCCCGCGGTAAAGAAACAATTACTTTTATATCTATCACGAGCAAGCGTATTTTATCAATGACACATTTGTCATTTACGATCCGCTAGATCTTTGTCGCGCGTTTTAAAAGCGCAACGATATTAATCGCAATCGTATACTTTATTCTTAATCGAATAGCTTGTGTTATGCTAAACATCTCGAAAGAAGTTTCTACGGATGTGTGTATCTTTCAATTAGATATTATTAAAAAATTACTAAACACATTCGGACTGTAAGTATATTTTGCCTGCGATACAATGCAAAAGCAAACGCGATACACGACACAGTTTCACACAATTCTATTTATCGAGAAAAATACAAAATGAGAAAAATTTAAAAAAAAAAGAAAAAAAAGAAAGCTTGTGCTATTTCTTGTTGATATAATCAATTTGCAATTATTTTTTTTTTTTTTATAAAAAGGATAAATAATAGATAATGCAAATACATTTGTTCGCAATTTGTGCTTCATATAGTGAAAATACAGTTTTCTTAATCTACGTATATTTATTGCTATTAAAAAGCATTTATAATATATTAAAGACATAAGAGACAAGCTGTAACACAAAAATATATTTCCCGTATCGATTTTACTTTTTTTATGGTAGAGCTTTACTTAGCAAATAAGATTTTCGTTTCAATATCGATCCGTTTTACGGAGCCTTTATTGTAATGTAAGCAGATTTGCGACATGATAAATTACAAAAATATAATAATTAATTACGTACAGAAATTTTGGAGAAATTATCAACAAGAATTATCCATTCTAAAACTTATATGTTACACAATTTTTTTTACTATTTCGCAAAAACTCTTCGAGCATTTTCAACACACGACAAAACATTCGTTTAACATACATAATAAAAATAAATATATATATATATAATATTGAAAATAAAATAAAAATAAAATGATATACTCGGTACAATATTATTCTAAAGAAAATCATACACGCTATACAAACTAAAAAAAAGAAAGAGAAAGGATTATTCAAGATATTCACAATCTCTCATTTATATAAATGATGAATAACATCGCAATCTATGAAGCTTATTCAGTTTGTTGGAGGGAAAAAATAATATTCATCAGTACGCAATACATTATTCAATGCAGGTACATTTAGTATGATTAATTGACATTAATGCATACTTTTGCGGGAGAATTTTGGCAATTGAATTCTGTACGCAGAAATATATGACGCACGCGGTTGTTTTATAAATTGTACGATTTCTAAACTAGCTTAACAAAACCATCCTGAGAATGAGATTGAAATATTAAGAATATCATTTTACCATTCCACTAACTATCTCGTCAATAATCCAGATGAAACAATAATTCGATCTTCTTTATATTCTTCGAGTTATTACAACAAAAATCACGTAGAATATTGACTTTGAATTTGTTATATACTATGTATGCGAGAGAGAGAAAGAGGGAGAGTAATTCCAAAGTTAACTCCAAAAACGTATCGCCAAAGTTAAAGTAAACCGCATTGAATTCCGTTGAATGAGTTTATAAACATCAACTCCTAATTTTACATATCTCCTTCCGCGTTGCACGCATTTAGAACATGACAATGCAATAAATGGTAATACGCTTACTTTGAGATAGAAAAGAATGGCAGTGACGACAGTAAATTCGTGCAACGATCAACGCAGTCAATTTAACTTTCTGCCTACAATGCGTAATCATACTGAACATACCGATGATAAATAAATTTCCATCGTGAATTTTCCATTCATTCATAAAATCAGATTCAAATCATCCCAGTAAGCCAAGGATTCAACTTAATGATATAAATTCCACTATCTATCACAATCTAAAGTCGCTCAAAGCGATTATATATTTTTATTTTCTTCACATCGGGGAGTGTTGATGATTGTTTGAAGAAAGTAGCTCCAAAAATAGTCGCTCGAAACGCACAGCGTATATCATAGAAAGCTCTATATAAACATTACCGATAACAATATAAGCGTTTCACTAACAATTATCGATAAAATTAACAGCATAGAAATTCTATGGGAAATGTAAACGATATTCAGCATAGCGAAAATTCGATCCGATAAAACGCGTTATTGAGGCGAATTAAGAAACTGACTTTTATATGATGAACGATATATATTACTCTATAATCACATAGCTTTTGAAAGGCAGTACTGGCTCTCTGCTGTAAAAACTGGTCACTTTTCCTTAGGGTAATATATGAATCGAGCTGTAAGTGCGAGAAGGAACTGTTTAGAACAACACGATATTATTTATCATAAACGTATGCCGATAGATCATACAAAATTATAAAATAATATCCCAGAAAATATATTCAATGTTAAAAACGTGAATATCGTATTTTGTGTGTATTTTTTCTTCGTACATATACCATTTTGAATTTTAGCCGTTTCACACAAGAGAGATCTATGCCCTTCAAAGCGCAATTATCACGGTTCTATATTGAAAAAACGGCTGTCGAAGCATGTTTTGCTATTATTAGTAAATTGATAAAATGTAAAAACGATGATATTCTCTCCCAGCATGGCTCTATGTCGTGGGTCCAACTATGTCGTGGGTCCAACTCCGTCGTGCGTATTTCCCTAATTGTCTCCTTAAATCTTGAATCTACAAATGCGTACTCCACGAAAAGCGATCTCTTTATTACATTTGTTATTTATTCCATATATGCTAACGATAGCCCGTCTCTTTCTCGCAAATATTTTTATATTCGTACTTACTTCCATTCGCACACACCCACACAAATATCATATATTGATGCGCTCGCATATTACTCTTACACGTGTATCACATTCACTTTACACACTTGCTCTCAGAGGAATCTATTATTCACGAGTATAACGCTACAATTGTAATAATTTAAAGAAATGTATTAAAGATTCGCGGAGCCATAGCAAGAGGTAGGACGACTCTTTGTAGATCGTACCTTCGATATGAACTATTGATAAATTGAACTAACAATGCACACTGATCACACACAAGTAATATATCATTGTCCAGTTTTCTTATTTTACTTGCGAATAGTAGTAGTGCTGTGAGCTTTCCACAAGTAATAATTAAATAGAATGTTCTGTAACTGCAATATTACTTCGTAACAGTTGTGCTTATGAAAAAAGTTTATTATTATAGAATGTAATGCACATTTGGTTGATACCATCGATCATACCAGAATTATATCTATGGATACGACAGAATTGATCCTTTATCTTAAACGCGAGGTTATATTGCAATCACAAGAACCATGCCCTATATATGGATATATATGTTATAAATTCAAATAAAATCCAGTAAAATCAAATACAGTAATTTGCATTTCTCAAAGTATTGTTTAAATCCAGTGTTAGCATGTTTCCAGAAATTTTTACATGTTGATTAAGTACATATTATTATAAATGACGAATGTTTATTGAAATTACAACAGAGTAAATCTAATCTAATCTAACTTGCATTAACTGAAGAGAAGCCTTAATCGAAAAAAAAAACTAGAATTAAACTACTTTTCAATTATTTTGAGATACACCTGACCATATACTTCTGACCATATATCTTACTAAACAAAAGCAGGCAATCTTATATGAGGACATTCGATTAGAGCACAATCACTAAAATTCCGGTTATTTATTGACTCACTTATGCTATGATTTGATTCAATGTGCATTTAATGTGTTCCAGATCATGCATTATGGAACATTTTAATAATAATAATTAGTATCGCGTGCGCTCGCGCGCGCAAGTATAGAAAAAGAAACCAACAATATTACTCTACGAGAAGTAGGACATCGGAAAAATACCGATATATAGACTATTCATTGATGAAATTTGGACCACTGAATTAATAATAGTTGCTAGAATAATCATCAGTTAGTAGAGCATTGGTCAAGACACACAAAGAAGATGATTTCAAAGTGAATATCCAGTGAAATCTTCACTAGTATCCATGTTAATACCCTTTCATTTAATTTTTTTTTATATTCGACTATTTACCGCGAGATTGTTGATCTCATAATTGTCTATAGACAAGTGCAAAATCGTCATTAGAATAATCGAGATATTTCTTTCACAGATAATTTCTAGAAAAGATGATTTCTACATAAAACAATTAAAGGAGGTAATAGTTATTAAACTATTAATTAATTTATTTTATTAAAATTATTATTTATTTTTTTATTATAGCAAGTAGACGATTAGATTTTGATAAATTTTAATAACTATTACCATCATTTTTGATTTACATAGGAATACAATTTCTAGATATTATCTAATAAATAAAATAGAAGAAATATTTCAACTATTGAAACATCGCGACTATACATTCCTTATATATAAATTATCATCTTAGGAAAGTGCGCACATTTTTTCTTTTTTTTCTTTTTTTTTCTACATAGCGCTAGAACGTCTTCGAATTATATATTCATTCAAATTATTTGCTAATTATCTAATAATTTTCTTAGTTGCTAAAGCCGCGCGTAAATGGTAAAGGAAGTGGGTACCGATGTAGCAACAGAGTAGCAATGATAACAGCGATATCAAGGCAGTTTCGCGTCGATCGAATAGTTTTACTTGTCTAATCGAACGACAGCTCATAATCGGACCAATCGGAATCGTCGGAATCTGAGAAGAAAGGGATATCTTCTAAATCGAGATACATCCAACGATCGTCCCTTTCATCGAGGAAATCCCATAAGATCAGTTGCTGTAAATAGTGCAAAGCCGTATTGTCACATTCTACTCATACCAGAATGTAATATAAAGTGGATGTAGCTCGACCATTTGATTCAGAGAGAATATTATATCGTTTGCTCCCACGACATTTTACAACATGAAAAACGCGTTTGTCGGCGTTTATAAATGCGACACAATCAAAATAAATATACTTTTGCAAACAATAAGATAGCCACACTTACGTGCAAGATGTCGATATCGGTGTCGGCAGTATTGCGCCTCTGTCGAACCGGTGGCCCCACATCTTTCTTAGTCCCATCGGGAAGTGCATGAAGATAGAAACATTTATTACCAAACGGACACTTGCCACGACCCTTGTTGAAGTACTTGCAGTCTTTGGTACTATAAGAAAAAAAATCGAAATGTTAGAGAACACAGATAGCTGAGATAGAGGCAGATTATAATTGTGATCATTCTTTACCTCAAAGCGCCTTTATAATCTGTTATTAACTTTTCCTTTTCTTCTTTCGTGTCCACCCAATACATACTAGGGCAAACAAAATCCGAGGGAATACGACATTCCGGGCATGCCCTTATGATTTTATTGTCGAACTGTTTAGCTTGACGCCACTTTCTGATGCAAGTTAGACAGAAGCAGTGATTGCAATTCGGCAATATACCGAACCTCTGTTCTCGCGACGATTTCTCCATTATTGTTTCGAAACAAACACCACAGGACTTCTCTTTGCTACGTTGGATGGCAAAAGATAATTCCATATCTGCTTCGTGCTGTTTCACACATGCCTATATGTCAATATCAAAACATCAATTATAATTTCTCTTTGGAATTCACGAAATATCCAATATATATAAAGTAATCCATATAAAGTATTATAAATTATTTTCTTAAAAACTATTAAGGATAGCAATAAAATCTTTTTTGTTAAAATTTATTGAAGCACTTTATAAGGAACAAATATCGCTGTTGGCAAAACAGAAAAGCAACTCCTTTATTTTTGTAAATAGAATTGGGAAATAGAAATAAGAAAATCATTTAATAAATATTATGATATATATAAATAATATATTGTGTATATATATATATATATATATAATATAATTATATAATATATATATAAATATCACATTCAAAATTATTTTATAATTATTATGGATCATATTTTATATATCTCAATTTCATTAAGGAATATTATTACAGACTCGAAACAAAGATAGAAATTTACTAACCATTTAATTTGTCCCTAATCTCCACTTCCTAGCTTAGCAATGTATAACAATTTAAATATATTTAGGCAAATTTAATATACAATGTAACAAATAGGGCTTACATTTGTATGTTTCTTCCTCAATTCTTCATTGTGTGGGTGAAGGACCGCACGGCTGCATAATTCGCAAATGTCACCATGAAGATATGTGCAATTTATATTTCTACAGATTCCAGTTGCTTCTGCATATGGACACAAAGGTTCTAAAGAGAGGTTTGAGGCTTGACCAGATGGATTAACAGCTTGAGCATACGAGACTGGCTTTGATATACTTGTAGATATTCCTGAAGCAGACGTTCCATCTGTAGAAGATGATCCAGCAACTGGAGACACAGCTGTAGGTACAAACTCGGGTGCTTTTACCCAATCTTCAGCAGTACGTTTATCAGATTTTCTATAACAAATAAGCAGATATCATAAATACAATATAGTTGAATGAAAAAAACATATCGTAATTAAAAGTATATATTACTATATTTATATATCAAACACAAACAAATCTATTATATATATAATTATTACAAGCGCTATTACAAATTAATGCATCATAATACATATATATACACAATGCTGTATTTAAACTTACTTATTTTTCGAAGAATTTGCTGTATGTTGACCCAAGGCTGAATTTTCTATCGCGTTAGTTTGCATAACATCGCTATCCGCAGTACCTGAACTATGTCGAAAACGGCATTGATTACCAAATTTACACATGCCCTGTTTGAAGAAGCGACAAGTGACAATATAGCCAGGATTATTAGTTGTCACTGTCTCATTGATATTTGCATCGTTTCTACTCGCTTGTACATGCCGATACCGACAGTTGTTCCCCTCACGGCAAGCACCATTCTTGAAGTATCTAAAATGAAGAATGCGATTATTGCCGCATGAAAAATACGGAAAGAAGTTATGGACGAGAGCATGTTCGGTCGTGTTTGAAATCGTCAAGACATTCGTAACGATATATAGATGAATATATTCGCCAAACGTCAATATTTATATTATTGTATTCGTCCATCGAACATTGCTACGAGTCCGCAATGTGCTTATTGCTAACCTCTCCATTTCTATCTACATGAAGCTTGATCATACACGAACTAATGCCTTCCGCGTGAAATCTCGTTACCGGAACTTTTGACACGTAACGTCTGGGACAACTTCTTACCGGCAAACAACACTCTGCGTCCAATTGTCGGCCATTTTCTCGCTCCTCCTCCGTCGTAACGGTCGCAATGATGATCGACGCGTCGTTCCTCGGATGATGAGACGTGCGAGCGTTCGCCGTAGGGAGAGCGAGAGAGAGAGAGAGAGAGAGAGAGAGAGAGAGAGATACACGCTTTCGAGGTCGTTCCGGCTTGGAGATCACGAGAATACGACTTTTACGGATAAGCCGGAAAACGCGACGCGCACACTGCAAAAACACACACCCCTGGTGCGATAAAGAGAACACGCTCCAATCGGCGCCGCGCAATAAACGCACCTCGCGTGCCTCGACGAGATGCGCGATGTATATGTCATACACGAGCACGAGTTGACGCGCGCGCGCGCGCGCTTCTTTCCGCTTTATTCCTATCTACTCGCTCTCTCCAACTCGCTACGTTCGTGTAACACTAACACCGCTTGTCACCGCCAACCGCCACCACTTTGCGATCGAGTCTCGTGCCAGTACGAATTTGTAATCGTCGCGATTATCGCCGAACACTACTTCCTCCTCTTCTCTATCGTGACGTATCTATCGTCTGATTCTATTGGATCGCGGAGTCGTTCTTTTCGCTATTCCATGTCCTTATACTTTTTCGATTTCCATTTATTGCTTTATCTTCCTTCACACGAAAGATTTGCACGCGAATATTTGATATTTCATGCGCGGTCATTGAACTCAACTGGAGTTGTTTCGTTTGTTGATGCGCCGAGCGTATCATTCCATACGCTAAAACTGGACAAAGTCACGTGGGCAGTGCTGTCATCGGTGTCATCCGTTATTGGCTGTCTGATGAGATTGCAAAGATATTGATCTCAAAAATGATCCACTGATTTCTGCCTCTGCGGTCGCGAAAATGTCATGAAGTTGTATACATTACATACTCCGAACGATCCATCCAAGAAGTGCGTTCGAAAATTATACTCGTAGGATAGAGTACCGTTGAATTGATGAATCAGGACAAAAAAATCTTTGCTCCTTTTTGTCCTGATTGGTCAATTAAACGCTACTTTAGGGTAGGATTTTTGAACGCATCCTAATTATAGCATAAGAAAAAAAAAAAAATGTTTTACTAGCATTAGAGTTGTAAGATAATAGCAACACTTTTTCGTGACAGTGCCGAATTTTTTTTTTCTTTCAAATTATATCTATATATATATGTTGTATGTGATAATATGATATAAAAAAATCAACCATGTTCTATTACTTAATTATATATTCTGTATGAAATTACTAGAAAATTCTCGATTCATATTAACATTACATAAATTTATTTCTCTCAAAAAATTAAAAGTTGATGCAAAATTATTATCATAAAATGTTAAATATTTCGAAGCGATACTATACATCTGAACAGACCTTTAAGTCGCATTACTTTTTTTACATGTGCTACGTATAGATGATTTTTACAAACAGAAATTTTTTTTATTATCAGCATAAAACGATTTGCGTTACAATTGTTTACGAATCCAGCTCTGACAGATACTGATATAAATAATACTTCCTCTCGTTCCATGAAAGGACCACGAGTATCGCGCGTAACGAAAACCGGCATTCATCCGCGCGTCATCGGACTTCGATAATCGCGTCGCTCAGTTTCGAACGAATCGCGCGAGTCATCGACATTGCATTTGTCGCTATTTCCGCGAGCAGCATACGTTTTTTTTCCGAATGCATGTAATATTATCCGATTCATATATACATGGCATATTTTCAGCGTTTCGTCTTATTGATGTTTAAAGTCGACGTTTCGACGACCGATTAACAGGTAGAGAAAACATGGCGATGCGAGCGTATCTTTTCATAACCTAGATATTATTCGCATATGACAAGCTGTTGATGTAATAATTCGCTTATATACGAAATATTTTTTTACACGCCATTTTGCACCGTACAAAATATTTCGCTGCTTGAGGATTTTCTTCCCTCTCTCAATCTATCATTCATTTTTATCGTAGACAAAAAATTTTATTCAAGTATCTATCGTGAATGCTGAGATTTTAATGTTATACATTTACGTTCTTTAATATAGAATATTATATTAAAATTTCTTCAGTAATTTTTTAATATCTTTTTTTAATATTTATTTATCTGATTTTTGTAACTCATTAAGCTATCATTTTTTATTATAAACTTAAATGTGAACTAATGTGAAGGAATGCCTTTTGTATGCAATAAATAACAAAAATATATATTTTTTATTATATATCAAAGTTTATCATATTATATTTCTAGATACACAACGGATAAACGTAAAACTAATGTAAATGAAAATGGATCCCCAAGACAGTTTAATATCTGCAGATAAGACTGATGTATCTCAATCGGAAGCTATAAGCAACTCAAGTAATGATAATACTAAAAATATTGAGAATGTTCCCAAAGAAGATAAAGGATCTGATAAATCACCATCTGATGAAGATACTGCAGAAATACATAGTGAAACAAATAAAGAAGTAACTGCGATAGCTTTTGAAAAATATGCGACTCCATCAAATATAGCTGATGAAGATGTTGTAGAGATGCATAGTGAAACAAATGACGAAGCAGCTGTAATAGTTTCTGAGAAAGATGCAGCTCCATTAAATATAGAAACAGATGATTCTGCTATACATTTACAAACTGTTGAAAAAGATGATAACATAGGAGTTGAAGTGCCATCATTTGATAAGAATGCTGAGACTGTAACAATTGAAGAAAGTAATATAGTTGAAAGTTCTTGTCAAGAAAGTGTATCTGTTAATATAGACAAGGAAACAACAGAACTAAGTACATTCAATTTGACAGAAAAATGTAACACGGAACAGTCATTAAATCTTGAAAATTCATGCAATATATCAGATAATACAGCAAATGACTGTACAAAACTTACTAGTGTAAATGAAACATCGTTTAAAGAAAAACCTGAAGATTGTGATATTCCAGATGAATCAAGTGTTATTGCAGATGAGGTACAAATATCTCAAAAGGATGTTGAACCGTCAAAAAAGGTGGAATCGGAATCTTCAGATAGTAATTTGGAAAATCCTGATAAAGATTTATCCGAGAAGAACATTGAACCTGAAAATACAGAGTTTATACAATTTTCTCACGACAAACACGACGATTCGCAAATTGAAGGACAATCTATAGATGCAGAAGATCCGTTTGGCAGTGACAATCTTATTTCTGATAACATCGAGCCAGTGGAAACTGATAGTCTTGTAGAGGATGATATTAGTTTTAAAAACTTATATGAGCAAGGTGATAATTTACAGGATGCAGTAAATGCTAGAAACAATGATTCTAATAATGATAAACTTAATGTTGATTGCACATCAAGCAATCCAAAAGACGTTGATGTTAATAAAGCTGTGAGCAATATTGCTAAAGAATCAAATAATGTACAAACTACTATTGATTCTCTTGAAAGTGCAGCAATAGATACTGATCTCCCAGATACAAATATATCTGAAACAGGAGCAGAAAGTACATCATCTACAAAATCATCTCATAAACAAGTTGAACAGACCAAAAAAGCTATCGAAGAAATTACACCAATGGAAACAGATGAGGAACAAACTGATGTATTACCAGGACAGGATGACGAGCTATGTATTATCCCAGATAGTATGAAAGTAATAATACCAAACAAATCAAGTAAAGCAATAGATGAGCAAAATGAATCTATGCTTGAAAAGAATGCTACAGACGATGAAACAACACAAAACTGTAGTAAACCTAATTCTGAACTTGACAAAGATGCTTCAGGCAAGGATGAACCTCAATCAGCAATTATGGAAAATAAAAATAGTAGCGAAGATAGTACAGTGACTACTCAAAACGAACCAACGGTAGAAGTACAAACTGCAACAACAGACATTATTAACATTGACGATGAGTCCAAGAGCTCAGAAGTGGAAGAGGTTACTACTAAAGAGACATGCAAGCAATGTGGCGAAGAAAGAGCATGTAAAATTCGGGTCAAAATTGGTACAGAAAACTATCATGTATGCTCAAAAACATGTAAGGCATTGTTTAAAGCAGCCAATAATAAAACAATAGACATACCAAGCCAAGGAGCTACCTCTAAACGAGAGAAACGTTGCGCATCTTGTTTACTAATTATAGAAGCGAATGATGAACGAAATCTTTCTTGGGAAACCATGGAATTTTGTAACGAGGAATGTTTGGGGAAGTTCCAAAGGAAATATGGAAGTTATTGTAAGAATTGTAACGGTGCGGTTCAAGCTGTAAGTTTAGGCAAATATTGTGTGAGATTTGGATGTGATGTAAGACAGTTTTGTTGTTCGACATGTTTGGAGGAATTTAAAAAAGGTTTGAAAGTGTGTAGTTACTGTCAGAAAGACATAAGTTTTAGCACAGACGGTTTTCTCGCACCAGTTGGGGAGAAAGGACAATTTAAAGACTTTTGTACCCAGGATTGTATGGAAAAATATTCGAAATTGAATTCTTCGGAACCTCCAACTACAGAAAAAAAGCCATGTAGCGTTTGTCAAGAGGTATGTACAACAGTTTTCTAGATTTTCAAATACTCTAAATGTATTATAAACAATTTTTAAATATAATGTGAAATTTCTTTTTTATAGGAGAAACTTGTACACTGCGAAGTTCAGATATATAATAGTACTCCGGTAGCCATATGTAGCGAACCCTGTTTTGCAGCTTTTAAATTTGTGAAACAAGTCAAACCTGAGCAATGCTCTACCTGCAGGAAATTTTTCGAATTACCAAATAAGCAACATTTCATTGTATTTTATGATAATGAGCCCCATACATTTTGTAATAAAACATGCTTAAATATATTTATTATAACAAATAGGAAGATAGTTCCATGTAATTGGTGCAAAGTAAAGAAATATAACTTTGATATGATTAAAAAAGAACTGAAAACAGGACAGACTCTAATGATGTGCAGCTTAAATTGTTTGACACTATATCAAGTATGTTGTGTTTGTTATGTACAATATAATATATAACAATATGTAAAATATAAAAT